TAATTTGATTAATTTATCTTAGGTTTAAATATGCCGGTGCTCCCTGTACTGAAATTTAAAATTCAGTCCCTATACTTTTATTTTTGCAAAAACCGAGTCCTTGTATTGTTCTTGGTTTGATAATCTTGATCCCTCCCTTTAATTTATGTTTGATTTTACTATTAAATGCTGACATGGAAGCAAACGTAAAATGGCTTTTTAGTCCTTTACGTCTATTGTTTCTATCAATTTGACCTTATAAAGTTGTAAACATTGATGATTGAAAATTTATATTGTTCAATTAATGATATTTTCTTATTTAGTTTGAAAGATTAACGGTCAAATTGATGAAAATTATAAATGTAACGAGCTAAAAAGTCATTTTTGTTTTTTATATCTACTAGGTCAGCAATTAATAGTATAATTGAACAAAAGTGAGGAGAATGATCAATATTTCCAAATAAAAAAATAGTACAAGGATTCAATTTCTCAAAAATAAAGTATAGGGACTAAATTTTAAATTTTAAAAATAACACAGGGACCTCTGATATATTTAAACCTTTATTTTATTCTACTTTTTAGAACTTTTTGCAATGAAATGCAGGATTAGCATTTTCTAGATAACAATTTGTGTCCTTGTCTCAAAACATTCTTGTTATTATCTATTCTTCTGAAAAGAAGCAACCTTTCAAAGTATTAGAGGGGAGACAGGAACTTTAATCTTGATTATGTTATGGTAATGTTATACCAAATTGGTTTAAATGCTACTAGGAAAATAAATGGGGATGAGAAATGGAGATGCTTCTGCTTATGAGTTTGGATTGTATTTAATATAAAACAGACTGTTAATTTGAATTTGTGAAAATTAAGATTCAGTTTGAATATCATTAAGGTAAAGAAGTCTGCTTGTGTGTTGTTAGCTGCTGAATGGTCTAAGGAATGTCATATGATTAAATTTCTATATCCAGATCCTTGGTAGATATTAACTCAAATTGTAATTAGAAATTAAGTTGGATTTTTGTTGTAATTTTAGTGATTGAAGATTACTTGGTAATTAAGTTTATTTAACAAACAAGTACTTATTTTTAGACAAGAAATCTTATGGAATTAGGTTTCTTGGTGACCAAGTATTTGACTCTATAATTATGAGGTAGGTCTTATGAAATTAGGTTTATTGATTAAATTTATTATTATTCTCATCCATGGAGGTAGGCAAGAAATCTTATGGAATGTGGTTCTGGTTTTGGAGTTTGTAGAGATATGACCATATGGGATATAAATCTATTTTCCATTAATTTGAAGTTTGGATGAAATTACCAGAAAAGGTTCTTTTGCATGAAATTAAATTTGATGGGCTTGTTTTCTATTGTATTTCTGATTTCGTTGGTCAAAACTTTGTTTTCAACCTGTCATATTTGCTATAAATTGTAGAACTTAGATGGTGCTTAGATTGAGGATCTACTTTTGAAGAATGCATTGACAGACTAATTTGTTTGTTGAAATTTACGATGTTTGCTAAATATATTATTTCAAGTTTTCATATTAACTTTTTTGTCACTGAGAAAAATATACAAATTCTGGAAATAGATGGATTAAGCAGTGATTTCTTGTCCTTTCCCTTACATGGCTTCTGTTTTATTGTTTCAGACACCTTGGCCCGACTCCTTGCCTTTTTCACATATGCAGGTCGCAAAAAAAGAAGTCATACCTCGTTTAGTTTCTTCTGATGACCCAATTATAGGACAAGTAGTGGTCACTGATCAACCTGAGATAGATCATCAGGGTAGGCTAATGGAAGGCTCTAGGTGTGGGGGAGTACATGACAGTCCAGATGAACATCCATATAAAAATACTAGTTCTGTTTCACATAGGCATAATGAGGACATAATTGTTCCTCTGCCTTCTAATCCAAAGGTTCGATATTCTGAAATTGACCATGTAGCATCAGCCAGTGAGCTTTCTTTACCCCCTATAGATGTCACCAGAGTTTCCGTTGGAGCTATACATGGTGTTGCTGACGGTCAGCAACCTCAACAAGCTGATTCACTTGTCGGTGACAATGGCATGATTTTGCCTTCTGCTTCCTCCCATGATGTGAAATCAAATGAGCTTACGTTGCCCCTTCCTGAGGCTGGCACCATTTCTGTTGGATATTCCCAAGATAGTAATGATGAACAAAAATCTGAATATGCTCATTTTGCTTCCATTGATTCGGAAAGTAATAACCAGATAACATCACTGAATGATTCTACTCAACCCCATCTTGTTGCCCTCAGTTCTGTTGATGGATCCGTAAAAGATACTTTGGATGGACAACAGACTAAAGGTGCTGATTCTCTTGGCAGCTCTCAAGTTCCACTTAATGGCATTATTTCATCCTCTCCGAAGGTCAATGACTCTAAGACAGAAGATGCTAAAAAAGGGAATGTAGACCATGCCAGTCATCTTGTTCTGCCTCGTAAAAAGATGATCACTTCTATGGTTAAATCCCCAAGCTCTGGTAGCCCTACTCCGACAAAAGGATGTGTTTTGAATAGAGGTCACATTGATACAGCTTCAGCCTTTGAATCTGTTAAAGAAACAGGTTCCAAGTTTGGAGGAATGGTTAGATGGAAATCTTGTAGAACACAAACTCCAGAGGTATATTTGATATATTTATAGTGGTGTGAATGTTAATATAATCTAGGCTACTGCAATATATTTTTGGCATGTCTAGTGAATGCTGTTTATCATGAATTTTGTTCTCCGTCTTCATTAACTATTAATGGCCATTAAACATATTTCTTTCTTTTTTCTCTGCCTACTTCATTCATGTTTGCTGAATGTAACTTAATTTTTTTTTGGCTATAGAGGAGCAGGTGTTCAGGCCAAGACCTTGAGAAACTACAGGAGCAGATGGTTGCATATAAGAGACGGTCAGTGGATGCTGAAGAGGCAAAAATTCGAGTATTAATGGAGCTGAACAGCACAAATAAACAAATAAATGAGCTGAAGCTAAGCCTGGAGAGAGCACAAACTGAAGAGAATCAGGCAAAACAAGACTCTGAACTTGCCATGCTCAGGGCGGAGGAGATGGAACAAGGGATTTGCAATGAGGCTAGTGTTGTAGCAAAGGAACAGCTTGAGGTTGCTAAAGCCAGGCATGCTGCTGCTGTTGAAGAGCTGAAATCTATTAACGAAGAGATGGAAACATTAAGAAAGGAATATGCTTCTGTGGTGACTGAGCAAGATACAGCTGTTAAGAAAGCTGAAGAGGCTGTTTATGCATCGAAAGAGGTTGAGAGGAGAGTGGAAGAATTGACCGTTGAGCTGATGGTCACAAAGGAGTCCTTGGAGTCCGCAAATGCTGCCCATATGGAGGCAGAAGAGAAAAGGATTGGAGCAGCCATGACCAGAGGCCACGATCCTCTCTATTGGGAGAAGGATCTAAAACAGGCTGAAGAGGAGCTCCAGAAAATCGTTCAGCTAAACGAATCAGCAAAGTATATGAAACCAAAGCTAGACACTGCTTCAGTGCTGCTGCATGATTTGAAATCTGAATTAACTGCTTATAGGGAGTCTATGTTTAATTTGGAAAATAATGGACACTCCACTGATGTGTCAGAGACACCAGAGAAAAGAACTCTCACTGAGGTACCAGCTGTGGTTGCCTCGGCAAAGAAGGAAATTGAAGAGGTGAAGCTCAAAATAGAAAAAGCAACTGCAGAAGTGGATTCTTTGAAGGTGCTTGCTGTTTCATTAAAATCAGAGCTTCAAAAGGAAGAGTCTGCTCTTGCCACCATTAAGCAAACAGAAGGCATGCCCGTTGTTGTTGCTTCTCTAAAAGATGACCCAGATAACACCAAATCAAAAATAGACTCAGTGCAGATGAATGAAAAAGAGGCAGAGATAAAATGGTGGAGGTGCCCAAAAAATTGCAGCAGGCAACTCAAGAGGCTCTCGAGGCCAAGTCACTTGCTGAAATGGCTCATGAAGAACTGAGAAAAGTAAAGGAAGAGGCTGAGCAAGCAAAGGCTAGAGCAAGTACCATGGAGAGTAGATTACTTGCAGTTCAAAAGGAGATAGAGGCAGCTGAGGCTTCAAAGAAGTTAGCTTTAGATGCTACCAAAGCATTGCAAGGTCATGAATCAGCTCAAAGAACTGATAATGTAGATTCACCAGATGGTTTAATTTTACCCTTAGAGGAGTACTATGACCTCAGTAAATGTGCATACGAGGCGGAGGAACAGGCCAAGATGAAGCTGGCAGCTGTCATTTCTCAAGTTGAGGTAGCTAAGAGATCCCAGTCCAGTAGCTTGGAGAAGTTGGCAGAAGTAAATCGAGAGATGGCTGAAAGAAAGGAACAACTAAAAATTGCTTTGGAGAAGGCTCAGAAGGCCAAGGAAAGGAAGTTAGGCGTAGAGCAGGAATTGAGACAATGGAGGGCTGAACATGAGCAGCGGCGAGAGGCTACTGAATCGAGTCATGGGGGAATTCCTCCAAGGACAAGTTTTGAAGGAACAGAACAAATGAAGAAAGCTGAACCTGCACCTACTTCTCCTTGCAGCACTCTAGATAGCTCAAAGGCAGTCAATGGGAGTAGTACGGAATCTGAATCATCCCCGGAAACAGCGGTCTTTAAGAAGAAGAAAAAGCAACTGTTCCCCAAGATAGCCATGTTTTTTAACAGGAAAAAGTCGAGCTTATTAAAATCCAAGTCCAAGTCCAGAACCTAGTAAGTCTGTCGATGAAATGCTGCATTATCTTTGCCATTGTGATTTCACCTCAAGTTTTTTCCTGGTTGTCACAGTGGCTCTTAGTATTCGATTAAGATTTTCCGGATAATCTCGAGTGTAAATTTTGTGGATTCTTTGACGTATGACGAAGTTGAGAATACACTTTTGGTTACCCGGAAGGGTTGTATGGCTAGAAGATCTCAAGAAATAAAAGATGATTAAGTTCTGTATAGGACTTGGATGTCAAGTCTTGTAAAATTGATGTTTATAATGAATGAAAAGAACTTGGTCTTCTTTCGATACAAACTAAACAATACCAGCTTTAGTAGCAAAACAGTGGATGGTTTCATGGTCTGCATTAGCAAATAGAAGGCTCGTAACTGTTACAGAATTTGCTTCATTTTCTTGAATAAATTCATCGCTTCATCTTTTCCATAAGCATCAATCATGGTATTCCAAGAAACCACAGATTTTTCTACCGTTTCTTCAAATCCAATTTTTGTCCCTTCCAAGTCCCCACATTTTGCATACATTGAAGTAAGTTAAGAGGCCTTATCTAAGGTAACCCAAGTTTACATACAAGAAGACCGGTTCGAATGTATGCAAGTTGAATAATACCGGATTTAAATAAAGGGTAAACTACATGGGATATCACTTAACATTAGATGATGTATCATTTATACCATCGAACTTTCAATTACTTTAATTACAACACTAAACTTTGATTTTTTTGCTTTAATTATATTACTAGATCATTAAATTTTAATGGCATGATGATGTGGACAACTCTTTTTGTCACTATAGTGATATAAACAAAATGATGTCGTTTTCGACGTGGCTATTTATGCCCAAAACAACGCTATTTTAGAAACTAAACTTTAGGAGTATATAGATTGTCATAAAACTTTAAAAACGTTCAATTTTAGGCACTAAACTTTTTTGTTCGTCAGTGGCAATCAATCGTCGTACGTCACAGGTCGCTATTCGCGGAAAGATAGATATTAGAACGTTTACATTTTACTAATATTTCTTCTCATCAGATTGATTTTCCATGAAACCTACTCAAAATCGACAAAAATCTATATAAATGTTTGTTGTGCTAATACTTCGATATCCTCCGATGAGTCTAATTTTGGGGTATGTTGTTTTTCTTTCCAAATTAATGCTTCTCACAGTTCAAATTTTCAAACAAACACCAAAATCTCAAAAATTGTGGTCTTCTTTTGTTTAATTTCATCAATTTTGAGAGGAATTCGTGAAAAATTAATCCTAAGAAAAGAAAGAGTGAAATGAAATATTTTGATATCAAATTAATGATCAGTGAAGGGCAGGGATTCATTGCTAGTTGTGACAAGAAAAGTTCAACACATAAAAGTAAACAATTAAAAGTTTAGTGACAAACTCAATACAACCTTAAAGTTTAGTGTCTAAAACAACATTATTTTGGATATCAATAACCACATCAAAACAATGCTATTTTATTCATGTCATCACGCCGTTTGAATTTTAAAGGCCAATTTTGTCAAAAAGGGTTGGCTATTTGTTGAAAATCAACAATGGTAAAATTTCAATTTAGAGTATTTACAAATTAGTCCTTAAGCTTCAACTATAAATATCCTAGCTCATTTAGCTTCAAAACCATCCCAAAGCATTCTAGCTTTCTTCCAATACTAGAGAATTTAGAGAGTTTCTTGAGAGTTATTTTTCTCCTTTTTATCAAGAGAGAATTATCATTGTTTTCTCCTTGGTAGATAGAGAGAAGTTGTAATTTTATTTTCTCATAGTGAAATTCTTCTACTGTTGCCCGTGGTTTTTTACCCTATATTATTTAGGGGTTTTCCACGTAAATTCTGTGTCTATTTTATTTTCTCAAATTATCAGTTGCGATTTTGCTCTATCCGATAGCCGTCTTCCGCAACAATTGATATCCGAGCCAGATTTGAGTGTGTAATATCTGCTTATTGTCTTTGTGGTTGCCACCAAAAGGTGGATCCTCCAACATAAGAAAATAAGAAGGTATTACCCATTCTTTAAGGTTCTAGAGAACTATGCACGATAGTGAAATAGTGGGAGCTATCCGTAATAGAAGCTATGGCAACGAAATTTGATATTGAAAAATTCAATGGGAGAAATTTCTCATTGTGGAAATTGAAGATGAAGGCCATCTTGAGAAAAGACGGGTGTCTAGCGGCTATCAATGAAAGGTCGGTGGATTTCACAGATGACAGCAAATGGAACGAGATGAACTGGAATGCTATGGCAAACTTTCATCTAGCATTAGCAGATGAAGTATTGTCAAGCATCGAGGAGAAAAAGACAACTAAGGAGATATGTGATCATCTCACCAAATTGTATGAGGCCACATCGTTGCACAATAAAATTTCCCTTAAGAGGAAATTGTACACTCTCCGGATGTCAGAATCTACTTCAGTGACGGAGCACTTAAATACACTGAACACTTTATATTCTCAGCTTACATCCTTAAGCTGTAAAATAGGAGAACAAGAACGTGCTGAACTTCTACTTCAAAGTCTACCGGATTCGTATGATAAACTCATCATCAACTTGACAAATAGTAATGTCACCAATCTAGTCTTCGATGACGTTGCAGCTGTTGTTCTACAAGAAGAAAATTGGCGCAAGAACAAGGAAGATAGACAAGTAAATCTACAACAAGCAGAAGCGTTGACAACGATGAGAGGGAGATCAACAGAACGTGGCCAAAGCAGCAGTCACAAACATGGTAGATCGAAGTCGAGAAGCAAGAAGAATTTAAAGTGTTATACCTGTGGAAAGAAGGGTCACTTGAAGAAGGATTGTTGGAGTCTAAATAAAAACTCCAATCCACAAGGCAATACCGCAAACACTTCAGATGATGGAGATGCTCTATGATGTGAAGCGTCAACCACCGTGGAAGGAAGAAAACGATTTGCAGATATATGACTCATTGATTCGGGAGCAACATATCACATGACCTCAAGAAGAGAATGGTTCCATCATTATGAACCTATCTCAGGAGGATCTGTGTATAGTTGCAATGATCATGCCTTAGAGATCGTTGGCGTGGGAACTATCAAATTGAAGATGTATGATGGAACAATTAAAGTTGTCCGAGATGTGCGGCACGTGAAAGGTCTGAAGAAAAATTTATTATCCTACGGATTGTTGGATAATAATGCTAGCAAGATTAAAACACGGAAAGGAATCATGAAGGTGTTCCGTGGAGCGCTTGTGGTGCTGAAAGGTGAAAAGATAGCTGCAAACTTGTACATGCTGAAAGGAGAGACATTGCTAGAAGCAGAAGCCTCTGTTGTCTCATGTAGTTCAGATTCTGCAATGCTATGGCATAAGAAACTTGGACACATGTCAGAACAAGGAATGAAAGTCCTTGTGGAGCAAAAGCTAATTCCAGGCTTAGCAAAGGTATCACTTACTTTGTGTGAGCATTGCATAACAAGTAAGCAGCGCCGGTTGAAATTCAACATATCAAATTCTAGAGGCAAAAGTGTTCTAGAATTGGTACACTCTGACGTATGGCAAGCACCAATAACATCCCTAGGCGGAGCAAAATACTTTGTCTCATTTATTGATGACTACTCTAGGAGATGTTGGGTGTACCCTATTAAGAAGAAGTCAGATGTGTTTTCCACTTTTAAAAACTTCAAAGCGCGGGTGGAACTTGATTCTGGAAATAAGATCAAGTGTTTCAGAACAGATAATGGAGGAGAATACACAAGCGAAGAATTTGATGACTTTTGCAGGAAAGAAGGCATCAAAAGACAGTTCACAGTGGCAAACACTCCTCAACAAAATGGAGTGGCAGAGCGGATGAACAGAACCTTGTTAGAAAGAATAAGAGCAATATTGAGGGATGCATGCCTAGAAAAATCATTCTGGGCAGAAGCAGTCAATACCGCCTGTTATTTGGTGAATCGAGCTCCATCAACTGCAATAGAGCTGAAGACACCAATGGAGATGTGGACTGGTAAACCAGCTGATTATTCAAACCTCCATGTATTTGGAAGTATTATGTACGTGATGTACAACTCCCAAGAAATCTCAAAGCTGGATCCAAAATCCAGAAAATGCAAATTCTTGGGGTATGCTGATGGAGTCAAGGGGTATCGCTTGTGGGATCCCACTGCCCGCAAAGTGATCATTAGTAGAGATGTTATCTTTGTAGAAGATAAACTACAAAGAAAAGAAGACGATGATAACGCTGAAAAAGTCAGAGACTACACAGATACATGTGGAAAAGGAGGTTGAAGAAGGAGATTCTTCTGAAGCAGAACCAGCACATGATGAACAAAAACCAGAGAGTTCTGAAGCTCCAACAACTCGTCAATCAGATCGTGTGAGAAAACGTCCCAATTGGCAGTCAGATTATGTTATAGAAGGAAATGTTGCATACTGCCTTTTAACAGAGGACGGTGAGCCATCAACATACCAAGAGGCAATAAACAGCTCAGATGCTTCACTGTGGATGATGGTGATGCAAGAAGAAATCGAAGCCCTTCATAAAAATAATACATGGGACCTTGTGCCACTACCACAAGGAAGAAATGCAATTGGGAACAAATGGGTCTTCAAAATCAAGTGAAATGGTGACAATCAAGTTGAGAGGTATCGTGCAAGACTGGTGGTCAAAGGATATACTCAAAAAGAAGGTATTAATTTCAATGAAATTTTTTCTCCTATGGTTCGACTAACAACAGTTCGAGTAGTCTTGGCAATGTGTGCTACATTGAATTTACATCTGGAATAGCTAGATGTTAAAACAACTTTTCTTCATGGAAATCTTGAAGAAGAGATTTATATGCTCCAACATGAAGGTTTTGAAGAAGACGAAAAGAATAACTTGGTTTGCAGGTTGAACAAATCTCTGTACGATCTAAAGCAGGCGCCGAGGTGTTGGTATAAGAGATTTGATTCCTTCATTATGTGCCTTGGATACAACAGACTTAATACAGACCCTTGTGCTTATTTCAAGAGGTCTGGTGATAACAATTTTGTTGTATTGTTGTTGTATGTGGATGACATGTTGGTTGCAGGACCCAACAAAGATCATATTGAAGAATTGAAGGCACAACTGGCTAGGGAATTTGAAATGAAGGACTTGGGATCAACAAACAAGATTCTAGGGATGCAAATTCACCGAGAGAGAAGTAATAGGAAGATTTGGCTTTCACAAAAGAATTACTTGAAGAAAATCTTGTCACGATTTAGCATGCAAGATTGTAAGCCAATTTCTACCCCTCTTCCTATTAACTTCAAATTATCCTCCAGTATGAGACCTAGCAGTGAAGAAGAGAGGATGGAGATGTCTCGAGTACCGTATGCATCAGCAGTGGGAAGTTTAATGTTCGCTATGATATGCACAAGACCAGACATTGCACAAGCAGTGGGAGTGGTTAGTCGGTACATGACGAATCCAGGCAAAGAGCATTGGAATACAGTAAAGAGGATCCTGAGATACATCAAAGGGACCTCAAATATTGCATTATGTTATGGAGGATCAAACTTACTAATCAATGGGTATGTAGATTCTGACTATGCAGGGGATTTGGATAAAAGCAAATCTACAACAGGATATGTGTTCAAAGTTGCTGATGGAGCTGTAAGCTGGGTTTCTAAGTTGCAGTCAGTTGTGGCTACATCCACAACAGAAGCAGAATATGTAGCAGCTACACAAGCCAGTAAAGAAGTAATTTGGTTGAAGATGTTATTGGAGGAGCTTGGGCACAATCAAGAGTATGTCTCTCTATTTTCTGACAGTCAAAGCGCCTTGCATCTAGCAAGGAATCCAACATTTCATTCAAGGAAAAAACACATACGAGTTCAGTACCATTTCATTCAAGGACAAAACACATACGAGTTCAGTACCATTTCATTCGTGAAAAGGTGGAAGAAGGGACAATAGATATGCAGAAGATCCATACCAAAGACAACATAGCAGATTTCATGACAAAGGCAATCAACACTGATAAATTTACTTGGTGTCGATCCTCTTGTGGCCTGTCAGAGATATAAGCAACATGATGGTACAAGATAGAAATAATGGTGTGAAGATATGATTGTTCTAATCAAATCTTCAAGTGGGAGATTGTTGAAAAATAAACAAGTGGCTAAGCCACTTTCGGTGGCAGCCACCAATTTTGTCAAAAAGGGTTGGCTATTTGTTGAAAATCAACAATGGTAAAATCTCAATTTTAGTCATTATAATTTAGGGTATTTACAAATTAGTCCTTAAGCTTCAACTATAAATACCCTAGCTCATTTAGCTTCAAAACCATCCCAAAGCATTCTAGCTTTCTTCCAATACTAGAGAATTTAGAGAGTTTCTTGAGAGTTATTTTTCTCCTTTTTATCAAGAGAGAATTATCATTGTTTTCTCCTTGGTAGATAGAGAGAAGTTGTAATTTTATTTTCTCATAGTGAAATTCTTCTACCGTTGCCCGTGGTTTTTTACCCTATATTATTTAGGGCTTTTCCACGTAAATTCTGTGTCTCTTTTATTTCTCAAATTATCAGTTGCGATTTTGCTCTATCCAATAGCCGTCTTCTGCAACAGGGATTCCCTGTGCCATCAGAATAGACAGTATCGTATCTGCAAATGAAGGATGGTCCCCAATCTAGACGATCATCAGAAGTTCCACCTTCGAAAATGCAGTATATACCCCTGCTATCTTGCCTCTCGGTTGTTATATGATTTATCACAATGTCAGCAACGCATTTGACTCTCTTTTGATGGAAAGAATCGATCAACGACTTCAATTCAACCTGAGATCCATACTTTGATGCATCGAGATCATATAGCCTTCCCGGCAAGTATCCTGAACATATTCATATACACTCAAAAGGCTGTTAATTCAACATAATTCAACAAACACAAAGCCTGCAACAGTCATGGAATCATTCACATCAGTTAACATATACATTAGGGGTGTAATCTAGTCGAGCCGATTTCAAATAGCGGCAATTATGAGTTCAAGAATAATTCAAAACCCAGGACTCGATACACGACTCGATTTCAATCGAACATCAAGTTTCAAGTTATGACTCAACTCGAGATATAATCAAACTTGAGCTTGATTAAACTCGTTTACCAATTTTTTGTACTAACGCTTGAACTTGATTAAGGTAGTTCAATTTTTGTACCCTGGGGACCAACTGACTGGGAGGGTGGTGGGAACCAAACGTGAGTGACACCGGCGTTGGCAATATAGGAAACGGAGTTCCGGAGAAAATTGTACCATCCACCAGCCTTGTTGGATGATTCCCAGTTGAAAACCTGAAAAAAACATTCCAAATTCAAAGACCCAAACATCAAATTCATGTTTTTAACACTCAGTCATACCTGAAGAAGATAAAGAAAGAGGAATACCTGGAACAATAAGATGGAGGTGGAAAAAGGGGAGAAGAAAACGAGGAAGACAAAAATGAAGCAAAGTGAATTGAACATATTTACCTTTAGTTTTGTTTTGTGTGTACTTGGGAGCAGAGCAACTGAGGTTTTTAAAATATGTCTTGTATCGTCTTCGTCAGCTTATTTTTGGAATTTTTAGCCATTTACGCGTAATTTGGTGCTTTAAGGAGTCGGGAAATTATTGGTTGGAGGAAGACGAATATGACTTTTTAAACTTTGAGTCCGTTTTATTTCGGGAAATACGTTCCTGCGTGTTGGTTGCCTCATGGAATTTTAAACTAATTACAACACGTTATTTTATGGGTAAACTATATGTTTAGCATCTAAACTATCAGTTTTATTTCATTTTAGTACCTAAACTTTTATTTATTTCAAAATTATACCAAATATTTATTTTTTATTTCATTTCGGTACATCGTCATTAATACTTATCGGAACTGTTACAACATAAAACTTTTTTATGGATAAATTACATCATCAATCACTCAATTATCTTCTCACTCTTATTCTGGTCACCGTAGTTTATTTTTTTTCAATTAAATTACCCAACTTTAAATTTACTCCTAATTTAATCACTCTAACTTTCAAATTTATTTTTTATTGTAATTATATATTAATTAAATAATAATAAAAATATCATGTCACAAAATTTATTAATAAAATAAATTATAGTGACTAAAACATGAGCAATTTGAAAATTGAGTAGTTAAATCAAAATATTTTTTTAAACTTTAGTGATCAAAATAGGAGTGAGAAGATAGTTAAGTGATGAATGTTGTAATTTACCCAAAAAATATCACGTGCAACAGTTCCGTTAAGTTTTAATGACGGGTACTAAAATGAAACAAAAAAATAAAACGCTAAGTATGATTTTAAAACAAATGAAAGTTTAGGTACTAAAAAATAAAATTGATAATTTATATATTAAACTTATAGTTTACCCTTATTTTATTATCGGTATGTATGTGAATGAATTGTTGCAAAAAGTCACTATTTTGTCACTTAATTAATCTATTATAACAATTAGGTCATTATGTTATTAAATCTCAATCGTATGTTGAAAAATACTTTTAATTATTTTTTGGGTAACTTTCACCATTGTAACCCTCTAGACCCAGCCTATACGTTACGACTATATCTAGCGAATTACAGTAATTCCAAAACATTCTTCGATAATTTTAATTCATATTACAAATATCATCCTTAAAACGTAGTAAATAACAATAAAATCCAAACGAGTACATATAAAACCTTAAGTAACTGGGTAGAATAAAATATGTCATAATATGTATCGCAGTAAGTCTTACATCAGTAGCGAAAACATTACAAGTCGTAAAATTCAAGTATTTCAAAATAAAGACACGTGTCAACGAAAATGAAAGCAGATCGAAAGATAAAAACATTACAAAAAATATTTTGTACGAACATGTCAATCCTCCAAGTTTCAGGTCCAGGGTGTCTATCCAAAAGTATTTGAAAGGGGGGAAAAGGTTTGAAAGGTGATCTAGAGAGCTCAGTGTATTCCAATGACGCAAGTACAACATAATGGGTAAAAATAATCAAGAAGTAATTCAGTAAAATATCGTAAAAGTCATAGATAAGTAGAGTTTTAAAACTCATAATTACCCTTCTACCATTCACCAAAATGCAGTTCCCCAGAACTGCATCCATAAAGGCTTACCTTATACCCATTGGGTATAGGTGCCAACCTAAGAGAGCATCTTGGGGCCAGAGAGCCTATCTAAGAAAGTTCTCAGGGCCTCAGAGCCTACCCAAGGGTCGTCTTAGGTCCATAAGGAATTACCAGCTTGATCAGAGATGAACCTCCATACTCCAGTATCCTACCCAAAATAGTATCTCAATAAAACAGTTCACACAATAAGTAGTGAATTCAATGATCCATAAATCAGTATAATCATATCTTCCAGTGAAAACAAGAAATCAGATAACATATATAAGACAACCATGTTCATAAACAGTTAACTCGTAAATCAATAAGTTAGTAAATCATAACATCGAGCTATTAAAAGATTCAGTAAATCAGTAATCTCGGTAAATCACATTTCAAAACAGATACAACAATCATATAACACATAGGGAATACACCTAGCATAAGGGGATCGACCAGTGAGTCTACTAAGCACCTGCCTCGCCACGCTCTGCTGCAGTGCTCGAACCTAATTCATAATAAACTAAGTTAATATCATAATAACATTTTAATTCAAATATTTCTTAGGGTTTTGGATCATTCAAGTAATCAATGGCTCGTGAGGTTTGACGGATTGAGAAGAGCTGAGTCGAGTTGTCGAACGGTCGAGAGAGTCTCATGTACCTTCAAATAACAATATCTTAAATCAAACATTAACCTTATTTTAATTATTCTTAAATAAATTATTTAAGTACATATGCATGTTTGGGTTTGAAAATCAATTCGGAAGCTTTCGGGTTTCAATTCGACAAAACAGACTTCAAATTCAGACTTAGGACATCGAAAAACATAAATATTACTTTTTTGGAAATTTTGACTTTTTGTTCAAAGTCAACGTTGGTCAAAGGTCAAAGTCAACATGTATGGTCAACGTGTAGGTCAAAGTCAATGGGTCAAACCAGTTCGGGTTGACTCGGTTCATTACGAGTTGACTCAGCTCGATTCGAGTTGACTCGAACCAGTTCTTGGAGGTTCCAAAATTGGAGAGGAGCCCCCCACGCACGTGATGGCGTGTGACGGCGGCGAAGGGGTTGGGAGCGGTAGTCGAGCACTCCAAGATCACCAAAACACCATTACCAAGCCATAACAACGCTCAAAACAAGCTAAAATCAGCAGAATCAAAAGCAAAAGGCCGCAACGCTTACCCCGACGGCGAACGGTCGAAACCGGTGATGACACGGTAGCCCACTGGTGTGGTTTTGAGTGCATGGAGGTGGGGAGTTCAGTGATGCAAGCGATGAGGTGAACCAATGCCTTGGACGGTCAGAATCGAAGAAATACCGAGGCGACGAGGTGGGTTTCGATGGTGCTTTTGCGAGCTTTCCACGACGAACGACATCGATTTTCGAAGCGAGGTTTGAGGGGTTTTGGTCACTGGTCGATGGCGAGTCGGATGAGGGTGGTGGTGCGCTGAACGAAAGCCGGGCGGTGGAGGATTTGTTGGAGGTGACGGGGAACGATGATAAACTTAGGGTTTAAGGTTTAATTTGGGGATTTGAGGGTTTTGGGTGTTATAACCTGAACCTTAACCAATTAAATAATATATGATGAAAAAGGGTTCAAAACCCTCAGCCACACTTCCATATACTTATTTTTTCTCTACCGACCAAAAAGGGGAAATTTTATGGTTAAGTATCTAAACTTTTTACAGATTCAAAACCGAGTTGCAAGCTTCAAAAACTTGCAATTTAATTCCTAAATTAATTTTATAATTTTTAATTTTAAAAAATGGGGGTGTGACAATCATATTAAAACAACCATAGTTTACTCTATTATTAATATGATTGCAATTGAATTACTCAATTTTGTTACAAATGAGTTATTTGGGTTTTGGACTTCTCAAAGATCGGGTATTCATTGGACGATACAAACGGTGAATGAGCTATCGTTGGTGAGAGAAAGAATATAGCCCAAGATAAAGAACATCTAACAATGGATGACATAGATCGAGGTGTAAGAAGTTTGAACATTTTAGGGTGATTTCATGACTTTTGAGAAATATTCTCAAGAATATAGTTCGATGATCAAGGTTAAATTTATGATGAAGTTTAAGATTCATCGACCACAATAGAGGACTAAATTTTAAATTACACATGATATAATTGTTATAATCGATTGATTTGATTATAATTTTTGAAATATGTGGAGTTCTCGTAATTATAATATTCCACATAAAATGGTGTTTATGGTTTAACGATACAATAATTTATCTATTATAATTATTAATTAAGTGATTTGATTATGATTTTTTTTAAATTCATAATATATTTATAAACATACTAATCTTAGGTCACATTTAGTGCAGTTTACACAAAATTAAATTAGTGTTCAACGACAATGATTCTATCTGAAATTTTCATTGGAATCAATAATTTATTACATATTTGAGTGGGAGAATATGAACAGATGATTGGACGTGAGATTTACTATTATTATTTTAAAAATAATTTTTTTATTTAAATAAAAACAATATATATTTTAAATTAAAGGTTAAATTACAACACATGCAGCTTTATTATGAGTAAATTTATAAATTATTGTGTATAAAGCAAGGGATTCAATATATTGATTAGTATGTCTGAAAAATCTGTCGATACAGTACAAAATACATCAAGTCTAATAAGGATAAATGCTGAATTTTCATAGATGACCTGAATGATAATCTCCAACTTATATTTACAGCTCTGAAAATGTTTGAATTTCAGGATTTAGTTAATTATGTTATTGCCACCACCGAATCTACTCATATAGCTAGAGATTAAAACTAACTAACTAATGACTCCCGAAAAGCTAGACCTGAAATCTCTGTCTTTAGGAAAAGTTGCTCAATACATGCATGTGTTATGTGTGGGACTTGTAATTTTATAAGCCTACAAGTTGGAGAGTGGTGGTTAAAATTGATAACTATCGAAAAATTTAAGTTCAAATTTGCTATCATTCAAAAATTCAAGTTTGATTTTATTACTCAAGTTCACAAGTTGGCAAGTGGTTTAGAAAAGAGATGAAAAAATCAACCATTTGGTCATTGAACTATTAAATTATTTATAAATTTAGTCTTTGAAGGTCAACTATAAATAGGTCTAACCGTCTTCATTTGAAATTATCCCAAAAATTATCTCTCCCATTTGTTTTTCTCTATTCTCCCACTTTGTAATAGTTTGAAAATTCTAAGAAATTTCATTTGTTATAATATATTGTCGAAGTGAAGTTATTATCCGTTGGTGGTGCTAGAAGTGTAGAGGATATTTCGTTGAACCTCGTAAATTTGACGTGTTCTCTCTATCATTTATATTATATGTTCATTATTATGGTGGTGCTAGAGGTGTAGACGATATTTCGTTGAACCTCGTAAATTTGACGTGTTATCTCTATTATTTATATTATATGTTCATTATTAGACTTTTTCTTTGTGTTTCAATATTCAATAGTTTGACGAGTTTGTCAGTTGTGCAAATTTCGATAGTTTTAATCTTCACCCGGTAACAGCATGCCCCGAAATATAGTCATTAGGTAGCTGTGAAACGCATCTTGATCAGGTACTTAAAAGACGCTCTAGATCATAATAGATTAGTTTTCGCTCTTGATACTATGACGACACTCGCTTTTTTTTTAAAACACTTTTGGGGGAATAATCATTACGATAAGAGATTAATTTCAGGATTCTGCACTTTGTTAGGTTTAAATATCTATCTTGGAGTTCAAAGAAACAAAAAGTGATCTTTTATTGTACCACAGAAGCAGAGTATCGAAGTTTGGCCGATGGCACCTCATAGATAGTATGGATAAAGCCGGTGCTTGATGAATTTGGTACTCTGGATGAGAGAGCATTCAACAATGAATTTGATCTTATGCGGCGAGTACAAATAGGAAAATTCAGTTATTGAAAATGTTTGGTTTCAATTAGAAAAGTTAGCTTGATTTGGCAAAAAGATAGATTATTTGTGGAGAAGAAACACTCACTGCTAGACGAAATTCTGCAACATGTTAAAGAATAGATACGAAAAGACCCTGCAAATGGTTCCAAATGCTGCCAGCAGAGCTCCACAACTCCTCCCAAACCACAACAGCTATTTATCTAAAATAGCCACACACAAAAAATCGAATTTTCGGATAATCCGAAAATTATTTTTTACCGATCCAAATCATCCGAAAAAATTTCGGATACCCGATCCGAACTATCCGAAAATTGAAAAAAGGATCAGATATCCAATTTTTCGGATCGGATCAACGGATCGGATCGGTCGGATCGGGTTTTTTTGCACACCCCTAGTCATACAAGTATTGCACATAACTACTATCAAAAGAAAAAATGCGAGTAATATGGAGCGAAAAAAGCATATAATTTTAGTGGAACAAAGAAACATGCTGCAATTGATCAATAGAAACGACAGGTGCTTTCACAACCCTATTTGGTAACCTAATCATTTATATCATTAAAGCCATGATATAAGCTTTTTCTCAATGATAAGAAGTTGATAGATGGCTTCCATTTATGTATTAAAAACTTAATTTCTGCAACAAAAGAACCTATATAGTACATTAGCATCTCTGCTCACATCTTTGCTGGCTTCGGAAAAATGTCAGGGGTGAATTTCTGAGCTGCACTCAAGCTTCCCTTGATCTTCATCGCCCCCCTGCATCATCTGTGTATTAAGTGTCGGGCTCACAAGTCTAAGTAGATTAACATTGCTGACTCCCATGGAATAATAAAGGAAAAGGAAATAGAAATCCGAGATTTTCACCTCATAAAAGCCATCTGGGGATTCATCTTCCCTGTTGCGACCTTTACAAAATCATCATCCTTGAAGGAAAACGTAGCATCAGGCTTTCCCCCTTCATATTTACCTAAAGTTCAGAGTAATAGGTCACTATCAACTTCATAAATCGCAGAATTTTATTACCAAAAGAGTGAACGGATCATTTAAACTTATTCATTAGAACCAATTTCATAAGGCCAAACACTTACTGAAACAGATGGAATATTTTAACATAAGATCAAATGTTAAAGAGAGTTAGGTAACCAACAACCCCCTAACCTGCTAGTTAGGTGAAATTTAATGGAATTTGCCATTGAGAAACGAATAAAGGAAAGAAGTGCAAGCTGACAAGAAACTAAATAGGACGTGTCCATGGCAAAAAAGAATGGTGAAGCTATTGAATTAATTAAATGGAATCCGCTTTGGCTTAAAAGATGATAGGGAAGGCATAAAAGAAGGGACAGATAAGAGTCCCTAATGGCAGCAGAATATAGTTACTGGAAAAGGGGCAATGGTTAACTCCCCAGTAAATGCTTAAAAGCAACCATTTGAAATTCCGATAAAAAGGAAATATTTTGAACTTTTGAAGGAAAAAAATCTAGCTATCGCAACATGAGAGCCTAAATCCATATAAATTCCATAAGGAAATCAAACATTTTCGATATGAGATTCAAGTCTCATGACATGCAATTATGCACATAAGAATCCATCACACTGCAATCACAATGCCCCATCGGATGCCACGATGCTTAACTTAATCTAGCTCAGGACATACACTAATATTCCGGCCCCATGACCTGTGTGACACCGTTGCAGCAAGAGATATGGTGGATGGTTTTAACCCCAACAGATGTAATACTTTGGAAAACAGCTGATTTGACTCTGCTGAATAACGGGAGATTGTCAGAGATCTAGTAGTGAGGTTTTAATCATCCGAGGAGTATGGGACTCCAGATGAATCGTGGGCGGAGATACGATTTCTCGTATACCAATATCATATCAGAAGAGCTCTAACTAGAAGAAAAAATCTACTTTCGATATGTGATTCAAGTTCCATCCCTTGCATATTCACATAACATATAGAATGCAGAAGATACAAACTTCAAACTCAATTCCATCTTTACAGATTAGAAAGCTACAATTTTATTAACAAACAGAGCAAAACAAACAAACCCAAACACCGCTATAATAATAAAAGATAAACAAAACAAGAACATAATCGAATTGTAGAATAAGGAAAACTCCGCTAACCTTTAGTAACCTCTCCTTTCTTGAGATCAACAACGTAAGAAACCTCATCAATCCCAATTTTCTGTAAAATCATAAACAAATCATTAAAATGAAATCGAAAGTAGAGAAAAGGGGTTGGGGGAGGGAAACTGAGAAAGCGTAAAGGGTTAACCTTGGGGGCGATATTGATTTGGTAAACGAGGCCGATCTTCTTGATGAGCTCTTTACCAGCATCAGAAGCCAAGTGAAGCTTCATCATCTCAAACAAGTTATCAGATTTCAACTCAGTAGTCGCCATTATTACAAATAAAAATGGAGAAAACCGAAGAAGAGATGAACGAGGGAATTGGGTTTGGATTACGGTTGAAATTGGTTTTTAAAGGCAGTGGAGCAGGGTAGTTGACGAGCAATCAATAGTTAACATGGCAAAAGGATTAGGCAACCCATCTAACATGACACGCATTTCTATGAAGAATGATTTATAGAAATAATGTTCATCAAAGTGGACCAGCATAACGTCACTTTCATTTCTCTATAAAATGTATCTTGTTTAAAGAAATAATATTATGAACCCATCGCATTGCGTTAATGACTATAAGAAAATGCGTCGCACTACATTATAATCACCACTGTTCAGAAAATAAATAATATTTATAAAATAAACCATCAAGATAAAAAGAACTATTATTTTTTTCTTATAATTACTTTAAATTATTAAAAGACAGTAATTACATGAAAAACTGTAAAGATTTCACAAAATATTAAAAAATTTGAAACATTTAGCGTAATTAAGCATGAAGGTATACCATTTTTTTCAAAAACAAAATCAAAATGATAAAAGTTTCTAACACATTGAGAATTGAGAATTTGTTTTAATAGTATATATACCGTATATGTGCATTGCAGAAGATTCTGAATTTGGAATCATCTTGTACTTTTTTTAAAAAATTAATATTTTATTTTTAATTTAATTTTAAATTATTTTTATCAACTTCCTAATAAATATCCAAATAATTTTTAAATTATCAAAGACATCAACTGAACTTTGCAGATATTTTACGACACTTAATTTTAGGACTAACTGTCCGGATAATTTGTTATCATGATTTGATTTTTTTTTTTGGTAACAAAATATCTAAACATTTCACCAACATTTTCTGGTAGATCAAATCAAAGATTGTTTACTATATCCACTTAGGATAACATTCACAATTCAAAATTGCAGGAACAATACATATGTACTGCTGGAATGAAAGGCACTAAAGACTGTTGTTATATTTACATGAAGACACTGCCCTACATCACCTACGGCTATCTCTCTGTCTCGGTCGCTGTCACATAACATTCTCGTATCGAACAAACATATTGAATCAAGATAGCATGGTGATTATGCATATGGATGTAACACAAAACCGACGAAGAGCATGAAGTGATCGAAGAAATCAACAAAAACTAATATCCATGGAGTTTCCTCTGGTTTGCTCACTGTACCCGGGCAAGTCTCACCGGCGGAAGCTCCATCTTAGTCTCTGCAATATATGTTTAGCTACTTCTGCTAAAGGATGCTTCTTTAGCTTACAGAATAGCCTAAAACCAAAACGAGAAATGTGGCAGAAAAATCAGGACTAAAACCAAAGTCATTCATGTTTTTGTCTTGGTTTTAATAAAAAAGACCAATGACAATAAATCTTTTACCTGATCATTGCATCAAGCATCATTTGCCACAGATTTTAGCTTCTTGGAACCGCGTTCATTGCTAGTTTTTTCATCTATAAAGTTCTGATCCGACACCTCTGGAACAACCAAAAAACGTCTTAGAGTTTGAATACGAGCACAATTTATTTAGCATTAGAGCAATTCATCAAAATATAGATCACATATGTACATTTTATCGATAGACATTGTACTAAAAAACAAATATATACATGCCTCCTAACTTCTAACCGTATGCCATGGCTACGAGACACCAAAAGATTATGAAAAAAAAGTAAGCACTTAATTGAAACATGGAGAACTTAACCATACAAGTCTAGATCATTAATCTCGAGCAAGTTCAAGATTTGTTGAATAAACTCAATACTATTGAAGGCACCATAAACACATAATTTGTATAAAATCATCAAGATCACACCAATATACCAATGCAAGCATCCATTTTACCGGTTTGTGACGAATGACATGATCATATACAGAAAATTGCTTTCTTTTACATTCGAATTGTTTGTTTTTACCTTTTGATGAAGCGTGATCTTGAAGATGACTACACGAGGCGAATACACGAGAATCGGATCCCGATCTGAAGTGCTGGATCCAAGGACTAGCCATGAAACAGCTAGAGCGATCACTTGTATTTGGTTGAAATCCGGGTGTTCCGAAATTGATCTTCTTCCAGCAACCACCTCGAAGAACTTTAAACTGCAACAACAAAGATTGAATAGGACAGTAAATAGATTGGAACGCAGGGAATGGAGAGGCAACCCCCATTGTTATAGAGAAGCACAAGATCAGACTTGAACCTGGCCTGAAGAGGTACTATGCGTTTGCCTTGATAATTTTGATCCGGGAAACTTGTTCTTTTGTGATTTGTATCCAAGAAAATCCATCGAATCATATAACTGGTCAACAAATGAAGCTTCCATGGATTTAAGGTATAAATTATGCTTCTCATCCGTCCATTCTGTAGATGTAGATTCAGTCATCAAAGAATCTTGTTGTATTATCAATTTTTATCATTAAAAAATCAGTAAGATTTCGCAAAAAGCAAAGACGACACATAATTAAGGGTATAAACCCTGAATTAACAGAACATAGTTATCAAAACTTCTAAAAGAAACCTTACCAATGCTAAGCAGAAACGTTACGAATGAAATCAAGAGAAACGTGCATGATTGAAAATGATTGTTTTAAAAAAATGATACAAAGTTAGAAATTCAGCTGCTTTTACCAGCTAAACCCATATCAAAGTTATTTACTTTAAACCAGGAAAAAGAAATAGAATAAAACCCCACGACTCAAATTCATTGATACATAAATCATCACCAGAAATATGCTGGGAAAAAGATGATTTATTTACCAAGTTTGGAACTTCTTGTTGTTGAGCAAACCGAGGAGACCTCGCCCGACTCAGAGGAAGAGGCCTCCGAACTCGTCCAAGACTCAGTTCTCCTGAAATCCTCCATGCAAAATCACTACAGAAATGATGGTTTAAATTCTGAAGATCAGAAGATGATAAAAATCAAAGATGGCAATTGCAATGAGAGCAGTGGTTGGGGTGTTTAAAGGAACGTTACAGTTGTAATCGCTTTTTACACGTGTTAATGTGGGACCATAACATCGCCACGTCACTTCATAGTCTTAGCGTAAGCTCCGGATATTTTATTGGATCCCTCCAAAATATCTAATCTAATCTAATCCAATCCCTTTCTTTTTCTTTTTTTAAACTTCAAAGATAAGGTTACATGGCTTGGAGTATCTTAAAAGCTTTTAGATATTTTTATTTACTATTGAATAAAAAGAATTAGTATAATATCATAAATTAATTTAAGTGACTAATGTTAAAAATTTAGGAGGAAAAATAAGGATTTAATTAACACACGTGAATGTGTGTATCTTCAACCCAATAATTAAGGGAATAATAAAAATCAAACTAAAAGATCATTAGATAAATTAAGCATATCATACAAAAATATTGTTTTACTAAAAATACTTCAAAATATCACCTAAATTTGAGCGAAGGAAATGTAACAAACTACTGATGTGGGATATTTGGATTTTAACGCCTCTCAATTTATCATATTTACCATTTTTAATCCCTACATTTTAAAAATTGAACATCCCATCAGGATATTAAAAACATTTTTAAAAACATTTTAAACCTTAAAAACCACACATGTATATAAAGACGAAAATTCTAGAATTATTATAACATATCGAAACATGTTATTAATATGACACTCGTACACCTCATTAATTAAATTATCTTTATTAAACAAATATGATTTAATTTTAATTTTAATAAGAAAATAATTAAAGTATGTTTTTTATTAAAAAATATAATTATTTTAAAAATATATTTATTTATTTAGAATTGGAACACTTAACTTATTTAAATTTGTAAAATTATCCCAACAACAATCATCAAAATAAACTGCCGATGACCCTGTTCATCACTGTAAAATCGTGTTATTCTACATGAACTGTTGTCGGAGAGATATATCAAGAAGAAACCGATCTTTCTCTTCACCCAACGTCGCCCTATAACCGTCCGTCGATTACCTGTCTTTGTCGTTTATGTTGCACATCGTTGACCGTTTACCTCTATTTCTACGTGCGTAGATCGTTTGATAACCATCCACGATGGTCACCCGTCTCAGCCAAACCAACCACGACCGTCGATACGCGTTTGTCTCCAATCTCGTGTGTAAGTCATCGTGGTTTAACTCTCCGATCATTTGTTAAACTCTGATTTCATGTTTTAATTTTGAATGGTCTAATTGCATGCAAAGTCCCCTTAATTTTGTTTTATTTTGAATGGTCAAATTGCATGCAACCCCTATAATTTTTCCTGTTTAGATTTTAGACTTATAGGTTCCAAAACTCTCATGATTTTCCCTTTGTTTTAATTTTTATTATTAATTTTGATTGTTCCCATTAATTTTAATACTTAATTTTGACCATTAATTTTTCTTGATATTAATTATGAGAAAATATCTTGAATAATATTATTTTAACCATTAATATTGACTTAATATTAATTTTGACATGTAAGTTTTGACTTGGAACTAATTTGGATATCAAAAGTATCAACTAGTGTTATTAATACTTAAGTTACTAAAATGGAATCAAAATGTAATTTTAGGTATGATTTTAAAAAATAATAATTGGGTGACCAAAATAGAATCGTAGAATTAATTGGATTATTAAATACGTAGTTTACCCTTAGGGGCATTTGGATCAAGGAAAAGATTATTACTAGGGGATAATCTTTTCCGAAATCACATACTCATGTTCGGTTCAAGAACATTCCCTTGAGAGGTAATGAAACATTACCTACAATAGCTATTTTGGTTAAGATTCCTTTGAGTCTTTTTCCCTCCAATATCTTAGGTATTTATCAATCCTCGTTGGGTTGGACAAAATTACCTCTAAATAAATGAATTATTTCAAAACTATCTTCTCATTTATTCCTTTAAATAGGAATAAATCATATGATAATCCCTAGTTTTATAATTTACTTTCTCCTTCGATCATTTAGGCTAGATATTATATAACTGGATATTATAAAGTAAAAAAATATTATTTTAGTATAAATTTATTTTATTTATTTTATTTTTATTGTGGTTTTAATAATTTTAATACTTTTTATAAAATAATATGATGTATATAATAAAATGTTTTCTATATTATAGTTTCTATGTATTCTATTAATTTTATCAAATAATTCGATATTAAATTACGTTGTACAACTCATACATGTAGCATGAGTAAAATAAAAAAGTGTAGTACTTAACACACACTTACACCAGTGTAATTATGTACATCTCTCAATATATTAGTACCTAAAGATAAACACATAATTATATTGGTGTAAGTATGTTTCTGTATTTTCAAAGAAATAAAATTTTAAAAATAATAAAATATATATATATATTAAGTTATTCGTGTATAAAATTAATTAAAAAAATATATAAATTAAAAATAAAAAAAATTATATTTTCTATGAATTTTTATGTAGATATTTTCATTTTCATTTTCATTTTGAGAATTAAACTTGTTAAAAATATATATCTCAATGACAATTTGGTAAAATATACATTTTTATTATCTTGTATTCATTCAATCGAATATTGTAATCTTATATTTTGTCAAACAAATCAAACGAGATAATACAACATTTCAATTAATGTGTTAAGTAATATAACATTCTCATAATATCATTACCAATAATAATCATACATTACGTGAATTGAACGCTCCTTAATTTATATGTTGTGAATATTCTTCGTTAATATAGAACCATTAAATAAAGGTACTGGTGACTGCGAATTAATTTTAATGATCTGTTCTAGGCTTCTAGCATGACCCATAAACTTATTATCCTTACAGATACTAACAGAATAATGTATTTCAGATGAAGCTGGTTCAGTCAGTCCTCAAATGCTTGGCAATTTCTGCTTGGATCAATGGTTATTTCTGTTCCTGCTCCATCGTATTTATGTCCAGTTTGAAGAACAAAAATTGGAGGAGATTATAAATATTGTACAGGAAGCAACTATTATACTCGACTGTCAAACCGGAGCCACCGTGCGTCTCCATCCAGATTCATGCAGGAACCCAAATTGCCATGTTCTTGTTTTGTTTTGTTTTTACTTACTATGACAGTTTGCCCTGAAAATGGAAATGCCATTCATCTCTCATACCTTATTTTTCTCACAAAGAGATATAGAATTGATGATATATGCAAAGCATTTACAATTTTTTGCCATTAAAACTTGCAAATGCCAGCAACTTAAACAAGCTCAAGTTAAAAGGATCATAGTTATACTTATATATATAGACATAGACTTGTGTGCTTAGCCATGTGCATTCCTGATACAGGCTAATGTGTGAGTCAGTTTCTTTTCTATATAATAATTTATTCTTCTTTAAACTGACAAAGCTTTCAACCAGCAACAATTTTTCCGTTTGTAAATTGGTGTTGCATAGTAAAATATTGATCGTTTCTCGATAAAAAAAATAAGGGTTCAGTCCAAAAAGAAAATTAGACAAACATTTTCAAAATTAATCTTGCTTTAAGCCACCTTATGACAAGTTCAATGGATCTTAATTAATAAATGTAGTGTTATGTTGTAGTTTTTATTCATAAATTGTTAGGAAAAAACGCCGGAACAAAAGGAATACGAATGAAGATGTGAAGAAAGTGGATTTCAAAAACTAGTAGAACATCCGAGTAGTTTTCTGGATTTATCGTATATTATTCAAGAGTATACTAGACGTATTCTTGTACATCACAGGCGCACTTAATGTCTGAATCACGTGTGGACATACCCCAACGAATCTACAAAAGTACAAGAGACAAAGACATGTATAGTGTAGGTTTTAGGGTTATGGGTGTTTTGGTGTGAGACGAAGAAGAAATCATATTCTTAGACACGACAAAGATAATGTGAGAATTATATTATATATTCAAAACTTTTATGCAGCACAGCATTCGAGAAATAGCAAAGAAGCTGTCGAGATGCCTTCTGCTCTAACTTTATGTAAAACTTCACTAATATATACATATATATCATATATACATTTTTCAAATATGTTGACTGATTCATGGGAACAAGAGATGATAATGGAGATTTTAATCTTCATCAAACGACACTATGAACTTCTTTTCTGCCGGTTATGACAGGGTTTTAAATCGCGGTCGCGGTCGCGATTTCGGTTATTTCGGATTTATCGTGATTGCGGCCGTCGCGGACGCTATTACGACAGTCGCGGGTAACTCGAACAGCGACGAAACCGCTAAATCGCAGTCGATCAATCGTTTTTTAAAACCCTGGGTTATGATACTCATAATTAAACTGATAATCATATTATTGAAAACAATGTGATACCTGCTGTTTTCTGAATTCAGATGAAGTGGTATATCAAACAGTATCATACATTAATGGAGAAATCAAAGAAAGCTCCAGAGAAATTGTCATTGACACAGTCATTCTCTCAGCCTTTTTTTCATTTTCACTTTCAGTGTCTCACTCTTTCCTCCATTAATGCAACTGGGAAACACACAGATATCAGAATGATGAACAAATGAATTGCACCAATGGAAAACTGAGGAAAATATTAAAGATTGGTGTTCTTTTTTTGAGTTTTGAAGCATCGCTTTTGTTCTTCGCTTTAACCAAAAAAATATATATATTGTTACATTGTATACATGTTTAGGTTACAAATATAAAAACTAATGGAAACTATCATGTAGAAGAAGGCATGAAATTCAACCGTAAATCATCTTTTTGCAAGACCAAACGTGCCTTCACAGTCTCCATGTTTGCTGTTGCTGTGTTATTATACTCGGGATGCAATCTCTTCTTCGACTGTAAATTTACACCAAATAGCTTTGTTCTGCAACTATTTCTGCTCGGTTCTTCGACGATCGTTAAGGAGCTCTGCGATGTTGCTGTTGGAGAGTTCAAGACCT